ATAATCTTGACGGAAGCAGACTGCCACTTCTTTCTCCCACAGAGCGGCTGGTGGGTTTGAACTGTCAGCTTTTATGGCAGCAGCAGAATGCTTAACCATTCTGCCACCAGGGTTCCTTCAGTTAATTTGTAGCTTTCTGTAATTATAATGCTATTTAGGGTGAGGTGATTTTACTTCAAGTCAGATTATACTACAACACAAAACTCTCTTTGCAGTGAAAATACCACCCCCAGACCTTTGCTTGATGGGCCATGTACATTAAGCTATACGTGATAGATGAGAACAGGCAATTTGGGAGGCTTTTTCTGGCCCCTATAGTACATGAAGGTAGTGGATATATGCACACTTCCTGAACAGGGAACTACCTTGTTCTAGGGCTCTAGGTACCTGCTAATGCCTTTTTCCCCCCTTAAGTGTCTTACTTTATGTTGGTAGGAAACAGCATTAAGTTACAGTGAGGTGTCTGGCAAACATATGAGTATCACTGCTGGTGTCCTGTTAAGGGTACAAAGCAATGGAAAATGATCCCTTAGCCATTCATGTAAAATTAATTTATTTTTTATTCTTACACTGAAGCTACAGTTTCAATCATTTCTTAATAGAAAGTTTTGTTCAATTGCTCACATAGTGAACTGAAATTTACTTTTTTCTATATAGTTTATTTTTTGCCCAATGAATGATATGAACATGATTTCAGAGGGAAATGTCTGTCATATTCATCAAAATCACTTTTTGAATGATGAAAATAATTCCAAATCCAAGATACTGATGGTCCTCCCCAGGCTGGGAGATAAGGGGATAGGGTAAAGGGTTTAAACTTTATGCATACATGATGGTTTATTTTTTAAAATAAAATGATTGAGAAAATGTGGATTTTGAGTGTTTTGGTGCTCATTATTTGAGCACAAATCTCTCCAAATTTGTCAATGAGCTTAAGTACTTAATAATAAAACTACTTTGAAGCATCTTTTGCATAGAATTAGAGAATTTCAAGATGTAATATTGGCATTATAAATTATTATTGTTACACATTCTGTATTTGGCAACATTTAAGAAATATTCACTCATTTGAACTGTTGTCTATATGCCTCTGATTCAGATTTTTAATCACTTTAATCTGTTCTTTTCTCCTCATTACTTTATAATGAGCAAGTCCTATTTTTATGTATGGTTAAAGAAAAAACAGGCAAATATGAAAAATGAAAATCTTTAGAAATGTAAGGAGCTCTGGTGATGTAGTGGCTAAAGCATGTGACTGCTAACCAGAAGGTTGGCAGTTCAAACCCACCAGCCACTTCATGGAAGGAAGACTCCGTAAAGATTTACCACCTTGGAAATGCAAAAGGGATCACTATGAGTCAGAATTGACTTCATGACAGTGAGTTTTTTTAGTTTTTAGAAATGTAGTTAGCCAATGATTTGTGTTCATGCGGATGCTGGCAAGATGCTCTATGTTGGCTATCTAGGAGAAATGCCAGTTTTCACTGTCTTCTTCCAGTCTCTGTTGCCTGCTGGTGAAAGTTTCAGTATTTTGTGTCACGTCAGCATGGCAGAGCTCCTGATAGTTTTTGTCACAAGCAGAGTGTACACAGCTGAGGTCATGCTCACCTGGAGAAGTGCATTGATCCTGGCCACCACAGAAGGAAGGTGAATGCAAGCAACAGTGGAATAGGCTGAATAATGGCCTCCAAAGATGTCCATGACCTAATCCACAATACTGTGAATATCTCACATTACAGGGCAAATGGGATTTTGTAGCTGTGAGTAAATGTAGGATGTTGAGATGAGGACATTATAGTGGTTCTCTGGGTGAGCCTGATGTCATCACAACCAACCAGTTGCTTTTGAGTCCATTCTAACTCAGAGAGACTTCTTGTGTATTGGAGTAACACTGTGCTCTGTAGGATTTTCATTGGGTGATTTTTCAGAAGCAGATTGCCAGGACTTTCTTCTGAGGTACTCCAGGTAGATTTGGACTGCCAACCTTTCTGTTAACAGCCAAGCATGATAAGTATTTGTCTACTCAGGGAACAAGTCCCTTTAAGAGGAAGGCCAGAGTTAGAAAAGGTATGATTACAGAGCAAGGGTTGGAGTGATATAGCCATGAGCCAAGGAATGCAGACAGTCTCTAGAAACTAGGCAAGGCAAGGAGCAGATTCGCTCCTAGCTCTCCAGAAGCCTGTTGACACTTTGATTTGATTTTGGACTCTGTCCTCCACAACTGTTGTTGTTGTTGTTAGGTGCCATCAATTCAGTTCCAACTCACAGTGACCCTATGTACAACAGAAAGATACACTGCCTGTTCCTGTGCCAGCCTCACAATACTTGCTATACTGAGCCCATCATTGCAGCCAGTGTGTCAGTCCATCTCATTGAAGACCTTCCCCTCTTTCGTCGACCCTCCACCTTACCAAGTATGACATCCTTCTCCAGGGAATGGTCCCTTCTGACAACATGACCAAAGTAGGTGAGATGAAGTCTGTCCATTCTCACTTCCAAGGAGCATTCTGGCTGCACTTCTTCCAGGACATATTTGTTAGTTCCTCTGGCAGTCTATGGTACTCCACAACTGTTGTTGTTATTGTTATGTGCCGTTGAGTCGGCCCCGACTCATAGTGACCCCTCCTTGGGTTTCCGAGGCAGTATCACTACAGAAGTAGGATTGCCCAACCTTCCTTCCGAGGAGTGGCTGGTGGGTTTGAACCACCAGCTTTCTGGTTAGCAGTCAAGTGCTTTTAGCCACTATGCACAACTAGAAGATGATAAATTTATGTTGTAACACTAGGTTTGTAGTAATTGCTCACAGCAGCAATAGGAAACTAACACAGTCAACCTTGTGCTCAAGAAAGATGAGCAAGGGCTTCACAGAAGTAGGGAGATCTCTTTCATGTCAGAGATTATTGGATGCTTTGAGAGCTTGGAAAGAATGAGGGTTAAATCCTTAAAATGCTGGTTTTGAGTCAGAGTGGCTGGCTTAAAATCCAGGCACCACCATTTATTAGCAGTATAATCCTGAGTAAGTGAACCGCTGTCCTCCTTTGTTCTCTCATCTGTTAACAAGGAAATGATCATAGGAGTTGACTCAGAGGCTTGTTATAAGGTTTAGATGACATAATCCATACAAAGGTTTGCACAGTGACTGGCACACAGTAAGAGTGCCATAAATGTGACAATTATTACATAAGCCCTCAGCTATCCAAAGCCTATGCTATGTGTTTGTGGTTGCTGAATTTTATTAGCACATTTAATAAGACTGTTCTTTACTTTGGGAAACTACATGAACTATCTTCACTCATTTGTATCTAAATGAAATACCTGCTCATGCCAGGGACAGTAACATTGTGGCTCAGTGCATGACTAAGTACATGCAGTGTTTGTTTTATTTTAATATAGGTCAGAAAAATAAATATCCATGTTTTCTTTGTGAGAGAGCTAGTCAGTTTCTTATAAAGAAATATGCTCATGGTTTAGGTGTTTAGGCCTTAACTCATAGTGCCCTTTAGTTTGCATCCTACTATCTGTCTCTATGCTAAAAGCAGAGGAATTTTCTTAAGACAAAAGAAAAAATCTTTTCAAAGTAAGGAGCACCACTTGGCAGGGGTTATGAAGAGGGAAAGAGTATGCAGGGTCATTGTAGCCTAGCATTGTGAAAATATGGAAAACTTTATAAATTATCACTGGCAGTGTGATTATGCCATGGCACTTTATAGTAACTATATCACACACTGGTGGTACAGTGGTTAAAGTATTCAGTTGCTAACCAAAAGGTCAACAGTTTGAACCCACCAGGCGCACCATGGGAGAAAGATGAGGCAGTCTGCATCCATAAAGATTTACAGCTTGAAAAACCTTTATGGGGCAGTTCTACTCTGTCCTGTAGAGTTGCTTTGAGTTGGAATAGACTTGATGAAACTGTTTTTGGTTTGTTTGTTTGTTTGTTTGTTTAACATCATGTTAGATGGAACCAAAAATGTTGCTACTTACCTCACACTAAATTTTCCTCTGTGGGTGCCACTTGAGTTGGTCAGGAGGAATATTCCTGACAGAAGCATAAGTGCTCAGTGAGACAAGAAGACAATAAATATCAGTGGTGTATTTTGGGAAATTGATAGGTGAAGCACATGGTGTGGACCAGTTAGAGAGAAGGTAGAAGGAAGAGCTGCCATTGTCAATTAGGGGAAGAATGTGAAGAGCTTTGGTGACCAACTTAAGAATTTGAACTTGATCCTGGAGCTCTTCATTTTCAAGAGTGTGCAGAGGTACATGTAGATATTATGTAGAAATAAAGGTGTCTGAGGTCCTAAAGTTTTGTAAATGATGTGGAAAAGAAGTAAATAAGATTCTTTTGTGTAATAATTTTCAGAGCCTATTAATATATTTTGAACTTTCCTAAAGTAGAAACAGAAGACAAATAGAAATGAGACCTAGAAGTAAGGCATTAGAATGGAAAAGAAGAAGTATATTCAAAAGATATTCAAGATGAGGAATCCTGGTGGCCAGGTAGATGGAGGGTGGGGAGCACAGAGGAGGTGTGGCAGGGAGAAAAGTCCAATTTGACTCCATTTTCAAGTTACAGCTTTTAGTCAGTGGAGGGATGGAGAATACATAGGAGAAGAAATTGGTTTTATAGGAAGATAATCCACTTTGAATTTATGTAGGACTTGTTTGATTTGAGATGCTGATAGGACAGCCAGTGTCCATAGACACTTGAGAATATGGATCAGGAGGAAAAAGGCTGTGGGATTGCCCAACCTTCCTTCCGAGGAGTGGCTGGTGGGTTTGAACTGCCAGGCTTCTGGTTAGCAGTCAAGTGCCTTAGGCACTATGCTACCTGAGAAAGTAGGTTAACTGAAGTTTACATGAAAATCACATTCATTTCTATAAATCCATCAATAATGAGCTGAAGGGTAGAGCCATAACTTAACTCTTAAGTGTTAACTCTTGCATTCTGATGGGGATCCTTGTTATCTATTGAAATGAAGCTATGTCTTCTCTTTCAGAATCACAGCTTGTGCAATGACTATGAATAAGTATGTGGAAGAAAATGTATCTCAGAAATCCTACACGACCATCAAGTATTTCATGAAGATGCTGAGCAGTGTCAGCGAGACCCTGATCTTCATCTTCATGGGCGTGTCCACCGTTGGAAAAAACCATGAGTGGAACTGGGCCTTTGTCTGTTTCACCCTGGCCTTCTGTCTGATCTGGCGAGCCCTGGGTAATGAGCACTTGTTTCATTAAAAAAAAAAAAAAAAAAAAATCAGCGAACTTACTTAAAACGTGGGGTTTACTTGTCCTTTTCTGTTGTTGCTATTGCTGTTTCTCCTCCTCTCTCTCCCTTCCTGATAGAATCTTTTTTTCCTTGAGTATCTTCATGCCTTTTCTTATAAATCAAATTAGCCTCCTTTAGCCTCTCTTAAAGGATTCTGGTGGCTGCTAACTGAAAGGCTGGCCATTGGAACCTACCCAGTGGTTCTATGGGAGAAATACCTGATCATCTGTTTCTGTAAAGATTACAGCCCAGAAAACCCTACAGTGCAGCTCTTCTCTATCATATGGGGTTGTTATGAGTTGGAACCGACAGCACTCACAACAGCTTCTCTGATTCTACATTTTTAACCGTTATCCTGAAACAACAATAACAAAGATGCAAGAGCCTAGTACTAATGGGGAAAAGAGAAAAGACCATGGGGGGGGTGCATTCTTAATATTTGACTTTGTTACAGAAGCAAGAAAATCATTCTATGTATTTTCATCTCATAGCCTCACACAGCTTATTTTCTTTGTTCTCAGGTGTCTTTGTCCTGACTCAGGTCATTAACTGGTTCCGGACAATTCCCCTGACCTTTAAGGATCAGTTCATCATTGCTTATGGAGGACTTCGAGGTGCTATCTGTTTTGCGTTAGTGTTTCTCCTTCCTGCTGCTGTATTTCCCCGGAAAAAGCTGTTTATTACAGCTGCAATTGTGGTCATATTTTTCACTGTCTTCATCCTGGTGAGTAGTGTTCTTTCTCCCAGCAATGTCTCTCTCTTTATCTGGAAGAAACAAATCTTAGACTATCATGATGAATTCCTTTCACAGGATGCTGAATGGCAAAACTGTGTTGAAGAGTTGGTAGTTAAGACATTAGAGAAAATGATATTTCCTATCTGGATTCTTGTCACGGGATTGTCCGGGGGCCGAAGAGAGTCCAATTTGGTCACTTGACCTACACAGAGGGATTATTATTTCAGGAAACTCAGCTAAGTGATCTAAGCTTACTACTGGAAACTAATGCACTGTGTTTGCTAATCCTTGTCATCTGTCTTTCTCTCTGACCTAATAAGTATACTCACTAAATGCCAGTTGTTTGTGCTAACCTTTCAACAGTTCTTTGACATGAGTGAAACAGCAGAACAAATGAAAATAGTTTAGAATTGGGAGGCGGAAAGTGTGATGTAAAGAACATGGACCAATGTCCAGAACTTGACTTTGAAAATTAATCTCTTTAAGTGAGTAAGCCAGCCTTTAGCAGATTGTGTTGTGTGGATATCCACTTAGTAAATAATTACTGGGTTCGTGTTATTGGTAGGCAGTACTCTAGAGGCTTAGGATGTATAAATGAAAATACAAAATATAAGAAAAGATTCTTGTCCTCATGGAGCTTACATTCCAGTAGCTGTGACAGACATTGGACAATAAACATAATTAACAAGTAAGGTATAGAATAGTTTATCCTCCTTGGTGAAGTTTCCATTCATATCTTCTGCCCATTTTTTAATTGGATTGTCTTTTTGTTATTGAGGTGTTGGAGTGTTCTATACATTCTAGAGATAAGTCCCTTGTCAGATATGTTATTACCAAATATTTTTTCCCAATCTGTAG